TGTGTGTGATGTGTATGCTGTCTTTGTATATGGTATGTGTATGTGTGTGCTGTGTTTGTGTGTGTACAGTATGTTTGTGTGTATGCATTTGTCTGCTGTCTTTTGTGCACACAGTGTGTGTATATGTGTGTATGTGTTTGCTGTCTTTGTCTGTGTAGTGTGTGTGTTTATGTGTCTATATGTGTATGCTGTCTTTGTCCGTGTACAGTGTGTGTATGTGTGTGCTGTGTTTGTGTATGTGCATGTGTATGCTATCTTTTGTGGGTACAGTGTGTGTGTATATGTGCGTATGTGTTTGTTGTCTTTGTCTGTGTACGGTGTGTGTATGTGTGTGCTGTGTTTGTGTGTGTGTGCGCATGTGCACCTTCTCATGCCATGTGCATACGTGGCGGTAAGAAGATAGCTTCTGGGAGTGAGTGCTCTTCTTCCTCCATGGGTTCTGGGGGTGGAACTCCAGTGATTAGGGTCAGATAAAACTTGCAGGTTTTATCTGCTGAACCCACCTCCCAATTTTGTTCACCTCTTAGTCTGCCACATCCCTTCTCATCCCTGCTGGCAACCCCCCCCCCCATGAAAGAAAACAAAACAAGGTAAGGAAGCAAGCAAACAAAAACAAGAACAAAATACAGAACAGAACAAAAAACACTAGGAACAGAAAAATCTCTGCATTCTGCTATTTTCAAAGAACATTTTCTAGGAGACTTGGAGCTCCACAGGGCCTTGTGGGTGAAATTTCCCAACAAGGAGCCGTTTGCTGTTCTCTGTGGGGCAGCTGCCTAGGAGTAGTGAGTTCATTACTGGTGATGAATGTAGAGGCCCGTTAAGGGAAATGTGCTTAGAGACCATATGCCAAGCTCCCTTTAATTTAACAGATAAAATCCGTGTTTCCATGTTTCTCTTTACTGCTTGAATCTAGTTTGTTCTGAAGCAGCTGAAACTGCTTTGGGTTCCTGCCTCAATTCTCCTCCCAAGTTACAATGAACACTTGATATCCTGGAGTTGGCCTTTCTCCGGCCTTTTCCCAAGGAACACATTTATTTTTTCCCCCTAAATATAATCCCTGGACTGCACAGAGGGGAGCTTCCCTCAGATACCACCTTCCCTTCAGAGCGTCCTCCACACCTGCCCTTGTGAACGCCTGTCTGGGGAGGGCGCTGGCCCCGGGTTCAGCCTCTGCTCTGAGGTATTGAAACTCCTGCCCACAAGCAGCAGAGTCACCTCCCCAAGCGCAACAGATCTGTCTCAACAATAAATGGCCTGAAGTGGCAACCGGTGCTGAGACAAGGGCCTGATTCACCTTCCCACGGAGCATGACACAGGAGGCCGGTAGCACAGGCTGGTTCCTGGCTGTATCACACTTAGATAAAGAACCTGGACTAGACGGCTGAGGCCCCAGCCAGGACGCCACCAGCTTTTGAGAGCAGAATGAGAGTTCTTTAGTGGCCCCGGGTGGGATTCTCCGCAAGCAAAGTGCTGAGACACGCCTCAACGAGGAGCAAGATCAGCTGAGGACAAGGCCGGATAGATTTCAGAAATTCCTATTACATACTCACATTGTAAAATATATTGCTCACGGTATGCTTTTACGTGTGTTTGGTTGTTGTTCTTTATTTCATTTTTAAGAACACCTTTTCACGTAGTTCAGACTGGCCTTGAACTTCTGCTCCCCCTGTGTCCACCAACCAAGTGCTAGAGTTACACGTGTACACCCCCACACTGTGCGTATTCAGTAGTGGGCCTTGTGCTCAGTCCTCACACACGCCAGGCAAGCATTCTGAGCCCACTCTAAGACCCTGTACAAAAATCTGGAGCTGGAAATTGGACCAACATTGTAGGGATTATTCTTCGGCTACAAGGCAAAGCTTCTTTGAAAGAATGTTCGGGCACCTCAGACGGAAGAAAAGAGTCCCCTGAGGCCTCTCCTACATACTCGAAACTGAAGCTTAGGCAGACAACTCCGAAGTGACAGTCGGTAGGAAAGAACAAGATGGCAAGAGGCTTCCCCGGGAAGTCTTCAGGGGCAGTTTAGCGACAGTCTGATACCCTGTAAAAGATGTCCCCGGAGTCTGAAGGGATCGGTGTAGAACTCCTAATGAGCGCCAAGAAGAAAATTCATTCCTCATCCCCATGCTATACGTTTTCTCATATCATTAAGTGAAAGTACTTAAAGTACTAAACAGTCCTGTTGTATTATTAATGATTGTTTTTCCGAGGCGACGGAAAGCCGGGACCTGGTGGGACAGGCGTCGATACCAGTACTGACCACAAGAGGGCGAGCCTCCACTGCGAGAGCCTGAAGGGTTTTTTGTTTTCGTTTTCATTTTTATTTTATTTATTTCCCCCCACTGAAGTTGGTCCCGTGGTTAAGAAAAATCCCCCAGTATTGCCTCAGGATTTGGAATTAATTGGACTTCTAGCCTGGATTTCTTGGTACTAACTAACCGCAATGTTAGACTGATCCATCAGAATATTTATTAAAACAACCCCATGAATCTCCTGTTTGAGAGCAGAGTCCAGTCAAACCTGCATGTAACAAATTAAAAGCCCATCTGCTTCCTGTGGCTGATTCTCAGTGGCTGTGATCCCCGCCGAGTCCGTCACTTACTGCACAACAGCCAGGAGGCAGGTCCGTGGCAGCAAGAGAGCTAGGGCTCAGAGCTGACTCAGCGCAGGGTTGGTGGGCTCTTTCCAGCCCCATCCAGCCGCAGAGCTGTGCAGCACCATTGCCTCCTTGGAGGGATTATGCCAGACAGAGCCTGGGAACTCCGTCCTTGTGCAGGCAAGTAGAGGCCAGTTTCTGCTTTCACTGCTGCTGCCCTCAAAGTGCAACGCATTTACCTACCGCGCTTGCGCTGTGCCCAGAGCAGCTGATCCACGTTAGGGATGTGCTCAGTCCTCTCTTGATGAGCCTGGCAGAGGCCCTCTATTGACCCCAGAAGCAGCCGAGGTGTCCCTGGTTGGGAGTCTGCTCCGTGCAGCCAGCGGTGTCAAAGCGTTTTCATGGCTCTTCACCGGTGAGAAGTTCAGTAAACCTCCGGTACCTCTAGGGCGCTGGCTTACTCTCCAGAGGACGTAGGAAGCTGTAAGAACAGCGGCTCCCCTCTTGCTATTCCACGCGTCAAGTGTGGCCTCCACAGCAACCCCCTTCTGTTCCTCTCCCCACACCATCGCTTTGCAGGGTCAGTCGCTTTTTCTCTTTGTTCCTTGTGCCCTTCGCGGCATCCCTGCTATAGGACTCAGGCCTTTTGGCCCCCAAATCTGCTTCCATTCCTGTTTCTCTCATTATACTTAGAACTTAAAGTCAGACTAGCAGTGGTTCTCAAATTGTGGGTCACACACTGGGGGAGTCGAATATCAGATATTTACATTACGATTCATAACAGCAGCAAAATTACAGCTATACAGTAGCAATGAAATCATTTTATGGTTGGAAGTCACCACAACATGATTGGAGCTGTGTTAAAGGGTCAGTGTTAGCAACCACTGTTATAAAGGGTCTGGTAGTTATAAACACTAACATTTATACTTTTACTGACCATTCGAGAAAAATAAACGTGAATTCACGAATTAACTAAGCCAGATGTCAACACAGGTTTCCTTTGGTGCTCCCGTTCTTTCTCACCCAGGGGGCTGGTGTGTGTCAGGCGGCGTCCTTGTGACAACCTGAGCCCCACCCGTGCCCTCTGTCTTAGCCCCTCCAGGTTTTGCTGTGTCCCTCTCTTCTCTCCCAATTTCAGTCAGAGCGTGGGTTGGGGTTTGTCTTTTCTCTCCTCTCAGTGGGGCTCAGTAACCAATTCAGCTCCAAGGGGCGCTTAGGATTCACTGAGAATGGCTTTAACTGCTCATGCCCATAGGAGGCAGTGTGATAGGGGGGTGGGGGAGGTGGGGGAGATGGGGGATGGGTGGGGGGGTGGGGAAAGGCATGGTAAGAGCATACAGGGGACACTTGAATCCTGAGCCTCTTGGGGGAATGCCTGCCTCTGGCAGTGCCACATCCTACTTCCTCTGTCTTCTGCCAGGGCTTCAGACAAGAAAGGGACCTAGGAGGTCACTGAGTAAACCTGTCTGTCCTCAATGATGGGCAACGCATCCCTGAGCTAAATCAAATTCCTGAGTCCCTATCTTGAACTTGTGGCCCTGGTGGCTGCACAGAGGTTTGCTTCCCCCCCCCATTTTAGTTTGGGTGTGAGTTTTGCAATTATTAATTATGAATGATAGTGTATGCATGCAACTTGGTGAATGATGGCTTTGTTGCATTTTGTTTCAGGGGCATGTGACATCATTTTGTTATGTAGCTCAGCCTACTCACCCTCTGCATAGATCTGGTTCAGGTGGACCACACATTTCTCTCCTAAAGGGGTTCA